AATCTATTGTCCTTTACCTAGGAGGGTCTCCTTGGGATATCACTTTTCGGTCGACACAACTATAACTGAAATAAATAATTAATCAATCCAACTTTTTTCCCGAAGGTTCTGGCATATTACACCTATTACGAACATGTTATTACAATTAGACTTATCGTTATCTGAAAATAATTTAAATTAAATGCTTTAAATAAATATCTCAGATAACCTCCATAATCAGCCTCTGAAACATCTGGCTGTTGCATAACAGAATCTTCTATAAAAACATATTTATGGAATAAAGATAAAACTTTCACGAAAAAAGCAGTGAATGTATCTTCAGGATATAATATTGAACACGTTATCTTAATAGTTTCCAAATTAAGATCTTCACCGGAATTCTGGCTAGTAATATTTTCCAGATGAGCATTTAATTTGTCTCTTTTGAACTTTTTTACTTCGAATCCCAAAGATTTTAATGATTTTATTTTCAAAAGTTCAATAATATCTTTTGGAGGGCTTGTAATACTTGAGCGTTTCGCAAAGCTCTGTATCTCGGTGTACTCTTCATTACTTAACCATTTCGGTTTTGCTATCTTGAAACCACAACGGATGATTCTCCAAACCTCTGGTCTCAGAGGATGTCCTTTGACATTTGATGCTTTCTCTAGCAATTCAGTAACTACCGAACCAGATTTTAATGTCCAACAATTCCAAAAATCATAATTGAAAGAGCGTTCAAAATAAGGAATCATGGCTTCATTAGTTTCTTTAAGTACTAATTCCGGGTCAATCTCTATGCCCTCTTCATAACTTGGAAGTCCTCCATAAAAGATAGAGTGCTGATTGGATTCCGAAAACTTAGGTGACTCAATAATAAGGTTATCCGGTCGTCGTGGTGGTGGTGTGGTGTAACGGTCTCGATTATATTGCCTTTTTAATACTCGTTCTTCCTCAGTATCACTTGCATTTTCCCTTTTCCCTAGGGTATTTGTATTTCGCAACAGGTCTTGATCTTCTTGATCGTAACTTTGCGCACCGAGATC